TCGCCGTGCGGTGCCGCCAGCCTGTCCGGCAGCAATGCAGCCGGCGGTAGCAGCAGCAACAGCGGTGGCAGTAACGGCCCGAACCGAAACCACATATCACCTAGTATGTTGCTGGCACGCAAATCGCTGCCACTGCCACTCACGTTGCCCGCGAAATTTACAACGAAAGCATGCGGACGACGTTACTTGCCACATCACAGCACTTACTATCGCCGCGGTTGCCCACTTTGTGGCAAGTTTCGTTACGACGCAGATGAGGCGCTCACGCTGTCGGTAGAAAGTGGGCTGGACGTGCCCACAACCTCTGCAACTTTACGAGCGGAACGGGTTGCCACAGAGATCGCAGTAGCCGCAGAGGACGTTATTGGTGTGGCAAGCAGCAGCGGTGAGCTGAGGTTGGCGAACAGATGTCAGCAGCTAACTGCGATGGATGATAGGACAAAGTGTACGGGTGTGGGACGCCAAGGGGCAGCTGCCGAACCGGTAATGGTTGAGGCAACAGACGAATTGGAAAAGTGTGCGTGCACGGTTGATATTTTGGAGTCGTCTTCAACTGTAATAATTGACAGTGATGCCAACGGCAATCACAACAGCAGCGAGGTAACAGCAAGCGCTAATAACAACGCAGTGAACGCAGTGTCAAAGGAAATGATGATCGATCAGAATGCAAATGGGCAGACAATTATGGAAGAGGTCTCTACTGATGTTATTGCTGCCAGCAGACCAAAGGATGCATCAATTAATGAGGTTGTAACATCCTACAGCCATACGATGGAGGCTGTTGCCTCAAATATGCCCGAAGACACTACTTTGGACGCAATTAATGCCAATAGTGGTATAATACGTGTCGACATGAGCAAAATCATCGATCAGACAGGCTTACCCACCTATGAAGCAGCCGCAAAGTTGGAGTCAAGTGGATATGTGTAAAAGTCGGCTGAGCTTTTCGTTTCAAAGCCAAATGTGCTTTATTAGTTTTAGCTGGAAATTTAGTAGTCACTAAAAGTGCATAATATTTACTATTTATCACACACTGTACCAAAAATATGTACTATGTAAATGAAATAAAGCAAAGAAATGTGAGCAAACAGATAGCAGATACAATTTTTTTATTTGATACTATAACCGAGAGTAAAGCCAGACTTTAAAGTTTAGTATAGTTGTTAAATGATAGTTTCTTGAAATATTTTGGCCACCAGACTATGTACAAAGGCCAACGCTAAAATCGGACGGACTATCAGACGGTACAGACATTTTACTAACTTAAGACTTCAGACCCCAATTTGCCACAGATCGAGCACGGATTCGAATCGAAGTCGTTTCACAGTTGGTCTAGCGAATACGTCTCGGTGAACTCGAAACGACGGTGAATCGTGGATCGTGTCAGCTAATACGACCTGTCATATGGGATTCCCGTAACAAAGAAAACTCACCACCGCCTGACGGTGACTTTGTCGTTGCTTCTCGCTCACGCTATCAAAATCAATCTGAAATATATTGATACGGACGGCAAGAACGGAAGAGCGCTCCATCGGTGCCTGGTTGAGCTCGAGTTGAACGTAGCCACTACCCAGCTTCGGTGATGGTTTCAAAAATACTCCAACCCAGCTCGTATGGAAAAATCTTGCAGAAAATCGATGGCTCGACATTCAAGTTTTGAGTATTTGAAGCGCACCTTTTGCCGAGCAGTGAAAATTTGTCGATGAGTGGCCAAGCCGCCTTCAATGCGGCTGTAAAGCAAATGGAGGCCATTTCCAATACGGTGCTTCACAATCTGTATCCATTGGGTTATACATATATTAAAAACAAAACAAAAAATTCTGTAAAAAATTCACTCGTACAGTCAGAGTTTTACCTTTGCCTGCCTAGGGGCGACCGCTGTTAGAAAAAACGTTTCTTAGTGGTGGCCGGATCAGGTATATAAACTGGGTCCTGATGGGTGGTTTTGCGCACCTCTAACAACTATATAACTGTGGCCGCTGTTGTTTGCGGTTGTTTAGTTAAATATTTATGCATACAAATGTACTTACAAACACATGTACATATTTACCTCTACACATCGATTTTGTTCGCTGACCACGAAAGAATAAAAGCCAATCAATAAGAAAAAAACGCCCCACTATCAGCCGAGTTTAGAAAAGCACAACCAATAATTGCCGATGCGTTTGACAGACATACATATTGACAAGCGCACATATTTTTTATACAAACCAAGCTTTATTTTGTTAAGTGTAGCGTGTTGAGGATTAGCGTCGCGCAACAACAACAACAGCTGTCAACCAAAAGATACAGAATAAACAGCTGGGAATATGTGAGTAAATGTGGCACGTGTACGTTCTTTGTCGGTTTACGCGGCAGCTGCAGCACACACTCCACCACAGCAGGTGGCACCGGCTGGAACTGCATATGTAAGGGTACATTAGTATGCAAATATTTATTTATATACATACAGTGAAAACTCTTATAACCGGACACTCCGGGCTACACAGTTTTTTATTTTCCATTTTTGTGCAGTTTTTTATTTTTATTTGTACATTTCTGAGAGATCCGCGTCCACATGCGAGGTGATGAAACAAAAAACTCACTAAAAAACTTAGTGTCCTCGTCCGGTCATTGGAGTGTCCGTTTAATGAAGGGCGCATTGTTCTAAAAACGCAAAGTGAAATTTGATTTTAGGACTTCTCTCCGATTAGGAAAGGTGTCTGCGAGTAGAGGTTTACTACACACAGCCCGCGACAAAAGTAAGCACATCAACATTTTTTACCAGTTTTGACTAATTTTCTTTTGCGTTTTTTAAGGTTCAAAGATCATATAAGTTCCAATTTTAAAATTTGTACAAAAATTTTAAAAATTGCACACGCTTTTCATCCCAACTCCAAGTATTTTAATTAGAATTTCTAAATTAATTTTTGGTATAAGCTATAACTTATTAAAATCTATTACAATGAGGTGAGTTGCTAAAAAGTCGAATTGATTTTTTATAATTTTTTTCTGATGGTTTTATGCACTTTTTTCCATATAAAAAAAAAATACTTTGTATGAAAGAAAATACTTGAAAATCAACGCGATTCTTTAGCAATTAAAACTAGCACTAGTACTAGAATTTAATAAGCAATAACTCTGCATACCAAAAATTATTCTTGAAATTAAAATTAAAACGCTTGGAATTGGGATGAAAAGATTGTGGAATTTTTTCTAATTTTTTTTTACAAAGTCAGAGATTTGCATTTATATGGCATTTGTTAGATAAAGAGCTACATACATATTCTTTTATTTAAAAATAATGCACATTAAACGAATGAAAGATAAATAGTCAAATCTGTTCAAAATGTTGAGGAGCTACCGTTTTGTCGCGGGCTGTATGTATGTATGTATTTAGTATGTGTGAAGCGTGGTAAGTTGGCCAAGGCGTATGAAGCAGAGCATTGCGTTCTTTTCAAATTGTCCAACGCCAACCTGGAGAGTGTGCATGCATACAGTCATGTGAAAAATAATAGCCGCACGATATTTTGACCTGTTTTGGCTTTTTTCTTTTGTTTGTTTAATGTTTATTATACAAATACAGCTCATTGTCTAACAAAAAGCATATATGTATGTACAAATTTCTAACTTTTGTAGAAAAATTGGAAAAATTCAAAAAAAAAATACAGTAACAACAAACTTTTACTTGAAACTTGCACATTCTTAAGCTAGAATTTAATACGCAGAATTTAATACGCTATAAAAGACATCAGCGCCACCAGCGGTTTCATTTTTGCAAATCTATGTCCTACTACGTTCCAATTAAATATGTCAAATGTGAGCAAATCAGAGCATAAATACGGGTTTTCAAAATACCTCGACCCTGGCGCCTCCTAATGAGACCATTTTTGGCAATAATGTATATATTATAAAAAGCAGCATATCGGCCTATAAATAAGTTAGATATAGGACTTTTATTTTTTTTTACGCGGTAGACTTTTCGCCTGAATCGCCCATATATGGTTTTTGTTAAAAATGAGTTGTATTTTTATTAAAAAAAATACTACGAAATAAAGGCTTGTAAAATAGCCAAAGCTGGTCTAAATGTCGTGTCGCTGTTTTTTTTCACATGACTTTACATACCTGCATACTACATACATACATACATGCATGCGTGCTGGTGGACTTTCAGTGTAGCAGAGACCACAAATCTAATTCGCTTCATTTGCATGTCAACACCCACACACACACACAAACACGCATACAAGAATCTGCCCGTTTCTGCGCTCTCGTGTGGTTTAATGGCAGAAAATCAGAAAAATATGAATAAATAAATTTATTTCATACATATATACATATGTATATATTTACACGCTTACGTAGGTACAGACATAAAACCAAGTGCATGAGGGTCAAGCGACTTTACCGTACGCCATCGTGACAGGTTGTCCAGTGCCTAATGAATCTACTACGTCTTTTGCAAGAAGAAAATATGCAAATAGAAAAAAAATCCGAATAAGTGTGCCAAGTGCAGGCAGGGAACCCAGCCTAGCAGCCGAGTGCCCTCAGCAGTCAGCGCTTAGCTTAGCGGGAGGTGTTGGCTACAGACAATTAAATCGACGTCGCAGCGACGACGCCAACACAGCAGGTATTGTACTATATATGTATAACCTTGAAATGTAGGCCGTGTGCGCATGATTGCATGCCTTTCTGTACGCTTAGGTATGTATGTATGTAGATATGGCGTTGAGAAAGTTACAGCTGCAACTGCAGCCATGCAGCGATTACAGCGCATGCATATTTGTAGCATGCATACATGCAGTTTTAGTTATCCTTTCAAGGATAATAAGGTA